GATTACTACTTCTGCAAGCCGTAGTGCTGTCCGATCATCTTCTGATCAAGTGAGTGTATACTACCTTTCATAAACACGATAATAATACAAGTATGATTTGAGTGTACTAAGTATATTGTTGTTTATATGTGTGAGTGTGTAGTTACTTTCTTCTAACGCATAAGTATGAAGTATTTTATACGAAATACGTGTTATGTGTATAATTTTGTTGTTATGTGCATGAATGTATATTCACTCTCTTTAATCTCATAGATCTGATTTATGAAATACGTGTTAGGTGGGTATGTCTCATCTGTTATGTGAAATATGTATTGGATGAAAATGCTATACAGGTTTTAAACTATATATATATATATATATATATATATATATATATATATATATATATATTTATCTACTAATATGTTGGGTAGAACATGGGTAGATAGTTGGTGTGTAATCAAAAGATGAGAGGCCTCGATGTTGTTGTTGTTGTTGACCTAGTTATTCAGCGGAGTATGGATAACGATCACAGACTCATTCTAGACAGTCTCGTGGAACGCTAGCAGGTTCATAACCTGTAGGTGTTGTGAACGATGTGTTCAGCGGTGTACTCTATCCCCCTCATGGTTGCCTTTAGGATATCTATTGTTGAGGAAACCCCTTAGCAGTAATGTCCGTCTCGATGAAAATCCTAGATTAGGTCCCTTGAGATAGATGTTGTTTTAGGGACGTAAAGTGAGGATAACGGTAATGGGTAATCAGGATAGTGATTGGTTGGTGAAATTAAATATAATTTATTTATTGTGGGTTGAAAACCCTATATGCTCACCAGGCTCCTAAGCCTGACCCACTCAGTTTTATTTGTATTACAGGAAGTGACGCAAGATGGATGAATCATCGAGTTGTTTTGTTTACAAGTCTGTATATGTATATATTTTTTGATTGACTTGTAATGTTATCTTTTATGCTTTATGGTCTGTATCGGAACATGACACCCTGAGTTTTAATTATATAATGAAAATGCATCACTTGATGAAATGCTTTGATAAATATTATTTTATCATGTTTTGTTTTGGGAACAAATTCCGCAACAATTTTAGATCAAAAGGATTTACTCTGAAATTATTTTAAAAAGCATAAATGAAATCGGTCTTTTCTGGCTGTGATTTTGGGGATGTCACAGGGTTAGAATTCAAAACCCCACGCGTTTGAAGAATTTCTTGCTAAAAAGGGAGTCAATCACAAATTTTTTGCTCCCTACACTCCACAACAAAATGGTGTAGTTGAAAGATGAAACCATTCCTTATGTGAAGCTGCATAAATCATGCTGCCGTTCGCATGTCTACCTTTCTACTTCTGGGCTGATGCGATAGCTACCGCTTGCTTTACCCAAAATTGATCTATCCTAAACAAGCAATTCTCAGTAACTCCTTATGAAATCATAAATAATTGCAAACCTAATGGTAAGTTTTTCCACGTTTTTGGCTCCAGGTGTTTTATCTTCAATTCCAAAGAACAACGGAACAAGTTTGATGTCAAAGTTGATAATGGAAAGTCAGATCATGGAAATATTTCCTAAACGTTATTCAGTTGTAATTCTTGTGTCCAACCTATATGAAGAGTTCATGTTACTCTTAGATGAACTTGAGAAAGTTATCACATCTGATGCTAAAGTAGTGGATAATATAGTCAATTGACTTAAGAAGATTATCGATGTTGCTGCGAAGACATGCCTCAACAGCCGTCCACTGCAAAAGAACCTCAAGTCACCTGCTCTACTTTACAGGGGAGAATTCTGGATCTAACACACAATTCTAAGGAGAGGATGCTACACCTCTAACCTCAAATGATTTTTTTATAGTGGGAGGGTTTCGCATCACCCATTTCTACTGAGCATCCTTCTGATGGTGATTTTTTCCCACCAACTATGACCCACGAATCTGCATTTGTAGGGAATGATTCAATTCCTGAGATCAACAAATTTGCATCATTCGAGGTGGAGAATAAAGAAGCGAATGCTGATTCGGACACTCATCTAGTTCTATCTGCATTCAAGGAAGTAAACGCTAAGCTAAATCCATCCATAGATCAAAATTATCCTCCCATGACCAAATGGACAAGAGATCACCCTAAAGCTCAAGTTATGGGTGAATCCTCTGCAAGCGTCCTTACCCGTTCTCAACTGAAAGCGATGCAAACTGAATTATTCTCCAAATTTGAATTTTGTATGTTTAATTCATTCGTGTCCAAGATTGAAACCAAAACCATCAACACTTCTCTCGATCATTCTAACTAAGTGCAAGCGATGCAAGATGAACTTAATGAGTTTGAACGAAACAAAGTTTGGAGACTAAGTCCAACTCCTCCAGGTGGTTCGGTTGTTGGTTTAAAATGGGTGTTTCGGAATAAAATGGATAAAGAAAGGAATGTCATCATAAGTAAAGCTAGGCTTGTAGTCAAAGGTTACTGCTAGGAAAAAGGAATTGACTACGAAGAGACATTTGCACAAATTGCAAGGTTGGAATCCCTTTGCATCTTCTTGGCATATGCAGCTCACAAAAATTTTGAAGTTTCTCAAAAGGATGTGATGTGTGCATTCTTAAATGGAGAACTGTAAGAGACTGTCTACGTGGAGCAACCACTTGGTTTTGTAAATGAAAAATATCCCAACCATTGTTATATTCTTGACAAAGCGGTTTACGGTCTAAAACAAACTCCAAGAGCCTGGTATAAAACACTGACTCATTTTCTTAAAATGTCCAAATTCAAGCAAGCTTCGGTTGAACCAACCTTCTTTCGCAAGAAAGATGGTGACCACTTGATGATTGTACAAATTTATGTTGATGAAATCATCTTCGGATCCACTAATCCCAGCCTAATAGCTATGTTCTAAAAGCTGATGGAAACTAAGTTTGAGATGAGCTCAATAGGTCCAATTAACTTTATTCTTGGATTAACCATAAGACAGGGACTGGAAGGAATCCTCATCAATCAGGAGGCTTACACAAAGACCCTACTTGCTAAATTCGGAATGTTGGGAGACTCAAAGGCAAAATTTCCAATGGCATTCGTAACCAAACTAACTCCTTCACTAGATAAACCTGCTGCTGATATGACCCTTTATCGTCAGATGATAGGTTCACTCGTGTATCTAACAACTAGTAGACCGGATATTATGTTTTTAGTTTGTTATTGTGCTAGGTTGCAAGCCAACCCACACGAACCTCCTATGGTGGTTGTTAAGAATATATTCTGGTATCTAAAACGAACGTCATCTGCTGGAATATGGTATCCTGCAAACTCAAGTTTTTTCGTACAATCATTTCAGATGTTGACTTAGGCGGTTGCGGTTTGGATAGAAAAAGCACCACTGGTGGATGCCAATTTCTTGATGGCAAGCGAGTGAGTTGGCAATTAAAGAAACAAACATGGCTTTCGTTGTCAACTGCTCATTCACAGTCTGTTTTATGGATGCGAATCAATGCGAACGTTCGTAGTGGTTTGCAAGACACTTTTCATCTGTGGTTTGGTATTTCATATATCCTTTTGTATATTTTGTATATCCTTGTTTATTTTATTGGTTTTTAATAACAAAAATTACTTTATGTCTATTTCTATTTCATTTCTATTTCTATTTCATTTCTATATAGATTCATACCAAGATCATTGATGAAGATGTTCGCAACATTTTATCAATTTGTGTGATGGGGTAAGTATAAATCTCGTTACTTATGTATTAGCTAAGTGTCCCTAGAAGCATGTTGTTGCATGTTGACATAAGCCTGAACGACTTGACTGTGAATCCTTAATGAGTTGATATCACCAATCAATTCTTCCAAATCAGGCCGCGAGTTCACATCAGTCATGAGCTACCTTACTCTTCTCATATTGAGTTAAGAGCTATCTGCATGGTCACTTTCGCATTGTAGAGGTACTTTCACTTTCTTGTAACCACCTATCTTCTTCTCCATTACTCTCGTATCCATTAATGTAACCCTTGAGACTCTAAAAAAATTACCACTATGTTTTATGGTTACACAAAATCTATGTTCATGATCCTAGTTTCATTCTACCATGAACTGAGTGTAACCCAAAATTCAATACCTTATATGAATTGATGGTGAACAATAAAACTTTCTAGTATTTTCACCCAAGAATTAACGAAAGTCCACGTTCGTTTTCAGTACCAAGAAATCTCTTTTCTTTTGTAAGATCCTAATGAAATGTTCTCATCCCAAGACATTTCTTCCAATGGATCTAGTGTTTATTTTTTCAGAGATTTCAATATTTGTCCACGTCACTCAAATATGCTCCAAACTTACTCATTCAACTGACTACACTGTTCACATGAGTACCTTCTCCTACTTTTGCACATATATCAAGTTTGTAGTTTGGATGAAGGATGAACCACCTTTATAAGCCTTAATAAAAGATGCCTTTCAATGTTTCTCATCAAACATTTGATCGTATTTAACAGGAAACCATGTAGACACTTCTTACTCTCTCTTGATTATGAAGGAAGAGACCTTTGCTTGGGATCCATAGTTTTATGTCCTTAGTTAGACATCACAGCATTCCTAGATAAATTGTTTTTATTTCACTTTCTTTGACACTCTTGCACAAAGATCTTAATGATTTTCTAAAATTCTAGTTCGTGGTTATTACCAACTTTTAGGTTCGCAGTTGTATTCGATGTTCTTTCTTTACTGCGAAAGGAGATGAGCTGACGTGAAAATTTATAAAAGATAAGAATTCAAACGGGCACATGAAAAGTTGAACGGACAGCTACCTATATGTCGCGTGGCGCATGTTTCTTACTCATCACAGTTGTCAGATCGCACTTTTACAGGCGACAGTTCATTTTTCAAGACACTATCTCTCCGGATTTTACTTACCAAATCAAATTGTATATAAGGGTCTTGACGGTTCCATATGTCATTACCTTTTTCAAACTCTATACACGATTTCTGACGATCACAAATCTCTCCACTATTCATCATCTTCTTCAAGCTTCATTAATGGCGGCTTCATCAGAGAATCTTTATGTTCAAGACCAGACTACTCATTCAACCTTTCTGACCATTAAGAAACATCAAAACCTCACCGTCGAACTTGATCCCATTCAATATGATCCCTTTCTTTTACCTCTGATTGAATGCTTGAAATACTCCCCTCTCACCATTTCCTATTCTCAAGTTCAGAATGTTCCACTATTGATTCTCCCCAAAGCTTACACCACAGCTAACTATGTCAAGGAAGAACAAAGGATTTACTTCGAGATCCACAATCACACCACATCAATCTCCAAAGCCCGATTCTGCAATCTGTTAGGGTTTCCTCGGTCTGACAACATGATCAACCTAGAAACCATCTCCAATGTTGCAATCTTAGAACTGCTCTATCAAATGGGGTACAAGGAAACTCTAACTGCGGTTTCCAAGTTCAAGAAATCCAATCTTCTACCCACATGGAATGCCCTCTCCACCATCCTGTTCAAATCATTTTATGAAAGAGTCACTAGCAATGACTATGCAAGAAAAATTTTCATGGGTCTGATGTATAGCCTTTACACACGTCTAAATGCTGATTATGGTTCTATCCTCTAGGCTCAACTTATCCAGGGTACTCACTGTGTTGCCCGTCAGAGTGAGATCTCCTGTGCGAGATTTTTGACCATCGTCGCCAATAGGGAAATCAAGTTGCTCAAGACTTCGGTAATGTCTAATGCATTGATGACTTCTATGTGACAACCCGATATTTCAACTCTTTGTAATGGCCTAATAGGTCAAGTATTGTAAACATTTTTGAGTTAATAAAATTAACTTTGATAATAAAATGTCCAAAAAGTTTCTATTTAAATTCTTCTATGTTTAAATATCATTAAACCATGATCGTACGTAAAAAGAACGCCCAAATCCGACTTCGTATATTGAAGTTATGATTTTTCCAAGTTCAGCTTAGCAACAGACAGCTAAAAACTCGAAAGGGAGATCGAGCGACATTTGGCCGGAATGACCTAAACGAGAATCGAAGGTCTCGACAATGGTATTTCAACGGTAAAAAGTCTGGCAAAAACCGACGTCAGATAAAGAAGTTATGAATTTTTAAAGAAATTCCTTAATCACGTCATTTTAATAATTAAATAATAAAAATAATTTCGGAATTTGCCAACGGAATCTAAACGAAAGTTGTAGATCGTAGTCTCACCTTCGCAGGGATATAAAGAACGTCGAAAACGGAGTTCGTATGAAGGAGATATGAATTTTTGAAGTTTGATAAATAATTTATATATAATTTTTATTAAAAATTCGGTATTATCCGAAGAGGAGTCAGCCCAGGGCCGAGGTACGCGCCGCGTACCCTCGTACGCCCGCGTACTTGAGGGCACGGCCTCGGATCATCCACGTCGCCCTATGCGAAGCTACCCGACCCGCGGTCCCATCCGACCCGCCCCATCTGAAATACGTAAGCAGTGACGTCCCGTACGTGCCGCGTACGGGAGTACGCCCCGCGTACGAGGGCCTTCCAGCCCCCTATAAAAGGGGTGCGAGGGGTTCCGGAAAAATTGCTCATTCACTCTCCTTTTTCTTGCGTTTTACCTCGTTTTCCATGCTCGCACTACCCCGAAGCCCTGGTCATTTTTGCTCAAGTCCCGAGAGTCGATTTTACTCCCGAGATTCCTGAGAATCCCGAGAATCCCGAAAAAAATCCGTTTCCCGAGACGAAACTCTGCCCGGTTTTCGATCTCGCTATCTTCAAGCTTCCAAGTGCGTTCATACCCCCTTTATTCAACCTTTGAAATGCTTTAAATGTTTTAAATACTTTATGGGAGGGGGGGATACAAGTTAAACACTTATAGTTATTGCTTCGATCACATGTGATTGCATTAATCACATGTGATTAATAACTAGGAAACCAATGATTCTATCACTGTTCAAACTATTTTACTTGAAAATGTTTTACAAACACTTTTACTTATCAAATGCTTTATTTAAACTTTGTTTTACTACTTAAATTGCATGCCCATATATGTATAGATAAGGCTTAGGAAGGCCATCCGCCTATTTCCTTTTCGCGCACTGAGATGTGGTCTGGTGGGATTTCGGGTGACCATCCGAGGGTCGTTTCAATATTAGTTATATATATCATATATACATGTATAGACATAAAAGTACTTCCATATTCATACTTATCAGCACATCATTAGTAAGTTACCATCGGGGTAACACGGGATCATACTACTACAATTTCTAGATCAACGAGTCAGTTCATTCAGGAGTCAATACTTATTACTAAGAGAACATATACAACGATACTAGAACAAGTAACATTATATTGCATATACACGAATACGTTAACAATTGTGATCCACTGTATGGGAGCATGTCTTAATTGTCATGACCCGAGTTGTAGCCAGAGTCTCTTGGAGGGAGAGCGTGAGTTTGCGTATAGATCTATACTGGATTGACTATCCTACACCTCGCTGCTAGCTACAGTGGGACCGACAGGTCTGCGGGTGCCAAACGTCATACCTTATTTTTCGACTATACGTTGTCGATGTTACCAGTCGATAGTATGGTGCAATTTATCACATGATACCTTAATATAAACCCGGTTTAAGGTAGTTAGTACAGCAGTAGTTCCTATAAAACAAAACTACAGTACTACAATAATTTACCCATTACATTTTGGTGATAACCTCACTTAAACTTTAATGTACAAACTATATTTTGTTAAATGATAGTTACACTTGGGAAATTACACACTTTTACATCAAACGAGCATACAAAACAGTTAAGCCTTGGTAGAGGGCTACTTTAACAGAAAATATAGGTTTTTCTGAGAGATTCAAACTTTTACAAACACTTACATACATTTACAACTCATACTTGCGACAGGTTCAAACGTTTTGATAATAAACCTCGACACTAAAATACTTATGAATTCACCAGCTTAATGCTGATAAACTCTTTCAAAATAACTTGTATTCTCAGGTCATCAGTAGACAGGTACCGATGCTAGCTTTTGAGAAGATGGAGCGCATTCAAGACTCATCATACTATTTTGATTTACATTATGTTTTTGGTGTCTAAAACTGTACAGAACACGCTTGTATTAAAATTTTATATTTAATGCAATGGATGATGTTGTTTGGTTATTTACATTTACTGTGTTGTGATACTTTACATGACGTCCTCTGCCTTAGAACGTTTCCGCCATTCTTGGTTTTGGGGTGTGACAGATTGGTATCAGAGCATTGTTTATAGTGAAGCAAGTATATCAACCCATAAAAGATATACTAAACTATAAACCCATTTGGGATTAAAACACTCTGACCAAGAGTCTATACTTTAAATACTAAAATAGTTAATTAAGTATACTAGTCTGCATTCATACTAAAACCAGTGTCACAACGACAAGAACAAGAGTATTACGATTGTTAAATATCACAGGTAAGCTAGGGGATGTATGGTCAGTCCTGGGAATGGCATAGCCTGATCAACTATGCTGGTCCGAGGAGTGATTAGCATATGCCCTAGAATAGTTGTGATGTGTTAACAAGTCTAAAAACTTACCAACAATGCCACAAAAAGATCAGTGGAACTTAAACTTAAAATACTATAGGTGTATTTTGTGCTATTAACTACATACATACTATATCTTTATACCTCTCTTCTCGCGTAGATTTAAATGGCTGGATTCCATCACGACGACCCGTACTTTCCAAATGAAGGCAACATAGGAATGCTCGAAGCAGAGTCTGACAATGAACACCAAATTCCGTTGGATGATCATCAAGCTGAAGGCTTCTCAGATGGATCAGACTCTGAGCCTGAAGTCAACAACCTACCGCTCGTAGGTCAACCCCGAACAACAACCCTCGACCAGCTTTTCCAGGTCCTACTCCCTTATGGGCAAACAACTTGAATCGTTGGAGTGATGAACAGGGTCAACCCTTACCATACTTTGGGGACCGAAGCTTTTACAACGTCAGCAATGGTGGCTCTGCTGACCGAGCCCTGCCTGTCATTATCCGCAGAATAGCTCGTAATGTCGAGCAAGGTAGAGCAGCCATCGACCGGGTCATGGAGATTGATGCCAACTCAGGTGTCAACACAGTCCGCATCCGCCGTCTTGAAGAAGACATGGAACGGACCCGGAGAACCAATGAAACCCTACAGCAACATCTGGTTGCCTCTCAAGCTGAAGTCATGGAACTCCGAGCTCGTCAAAGTGCTCATGAGCAACACCTTCAAGAGGTGGTCCGTCAAATGAGAGACCTTAGGGTTCTCCCGAGGAATATTCATCGCCGTTAGATGATGTCTAGTACATCATTATCTTTAGGGTTAAGGATTAGCCTTTAACATCTGTGCTCTCAGTAGCACTTGTCTGTAAAATATTCCTAACTTTCAGTACTCTAATTAGGAATCTAAGAACTGTCAAACTTTTCTATATGGTATGATGTAAGACCTACTGTTAGGTCGATTTTCCTTGAACTTATTACATCAGTAATACCAGTATTATTGAAATCTATCTAATTGTGGGAAAAATCTATACACTTGTGTTTTCCTACTAATATTTCTTGTTGTGATTTCAAACACTCATTCAACTGTTGGGCTATGGTTAGTTAGTCCATGTGTCACTCTCACGTTGCTTACAAATTGATTCTTACCATTTTCTTACCTTTATAAACTTATAGCTGAAAGATGCCTCCTCGCAAATCTCCCAGGAATAATCCTGCACCACCACCTCCTCCGCCTCCGGTCATCGATACTGCAGCCCTAAATGCTGTCGTAGCTAGCAGTGGCAACTGCCATGGCTCAGTATCACTCTTCTGATGCCAGCAGAGGTGGAACCCCTGTGGAATCAATCCCGGTTGAAACCCCTGTGCGCTCGAGAGAGTGCTCTTACAAGGATTTCACCAACTGCAAGCCGAAGTCCTTTCATGGGACCGGCGGAGTCATTGCTCTCTCGCAATGGTTCGAGAAGACTGAAGCGGTCTTCGAAATTTGTTCATGCCCTGCTGCGAGCAAAGTGAAATACGCCGCATGCACCTTTGAAGGAAAGGCCCTAACGTGGTGGAACGGCCACGTTAAATCTCTAACTCTTGTCGTAGCCAACGACATAGGCTGGGAAACGATGAAAGACCTCATGATTGAGGAATACAGCCCGAGGGGCGAAATCCAGAAACTAGAGCAGGAGCTTTGGAGCCTGACCATGAAGGGCACCAACATTGTCGCTTACACCGCCAGATTCAGCGAACTGGTGGCCCTCTGCCCTAATATGGTTCCAAACGCTCAAACGAGCCTTGTGCACCGCACCAATACTATCCCTTCCCGAAGGAATAGAAGACTTCGTAGTCTATTGTGATGCATCGAATCAAGGGCTCGGATGTGTCCTGATGCAGCGAGGTAAGGTCATCGCCTACGCCTCGAGACAGTTGAAGACACACGACGTTAACTACACGACCCACGATCTTGAACTAGGAGCAGTGGTGTTTGCTCTGAAGATCTGGAGACATTACTTGTATGGAACGAAGAGCACTATCTTTACCGACCACAAGAGTTTACAACACATTTTCGATCAAAAGGAGCTCAACATGAGA